ACATGCTGCTGGTTTGTGCAAGGCCACCAGAAGGAACAACTAATGCCAACATGACAAGGACAGGAAAAATATGCAAATAAAAAACATCTCTTGAAGGCAGCCAAAGTATTTATTTGAGGTGAAGTGAAAGGAGTAGGAAGGGGAAGTCTGTGAGGAGGCAGGATACAGCTTAAGGCAGTCAGACCAGGCTAACACAGCTTTCCCTAAAATACTTCCAAGTTTCATGAAAAACTAGGATACTAAATTTCTTCTTCCCATAGAGCTACTGGTGACTTAATCCAGGAAGAGCAACAAGGTTCATTTAACAACTACTTGCTAGGAGAACTGTCAACATTTCCTATGCCATTGTAAAGTGCTGATGTTTCCTACAGGCAGTTATCTACACCTACTGAAATACAAAGTCTTCATTGCATGTTTTTGAAAACCCAAGATTCTCTTGCTGTCATACTGCAATCGCATGTGTCTCCAGTGTGACACAGCCACATGTCCTGCTTATGATTTAAAACAGACAGCAAACACCCTGAGGTGGTTGTGTGAGGGTCTCAGTTCTGTGGGCACTGTAGACCCAGAAAGGCAGCTTTGCAAAGCAAGTAGCCGATCCTTAATGTCAGAATTTTCTCAGCCAAGACGCTGGACATTCTGGAAAATGGTGATTTATCACAGAAACCCTGGTTCCTTGGCTAATCTTAACTAGAGTGTTGCTACGGCAATGCTATCGGGAGTGTGCTCTTCTGAACTGATTTTGCAGTATGTTTTTCATTATTTGCATACTAAAGCTGCTGTTTAGGGATTCTTACTTGCAGAAATGGTGAGAGAGAAAGAAATAATTTTCTTTCTGCTTATATGGGAAATTATGCTTAGCAGAGCGCATGTATTTCAGCAAAACTCATTTAATGAAAAAATGCAAACAAATGAAAGCAGCATGTTTATAAGAGAGGCATGTAAAATTCACATCATGTTATGCTTTAGAGAGAAGGCATCCCTTTTGCAATTACTTCTGAAGTACTGTATGACATTTCTATTATTCATTGGGACATAGAGGAAATTACTGACTAAACAGTTTTCACTGTTGGAATTCCCTTGTGTTTGCCACTGTTTAGGTTATTTTTAATCTGGCCTCGGTACACAAAAATGATTTTCAAAACCCTGGCTGTCAGAATGTGTGTGTTCAAGGTATTGGTTCTACATTTACTGTTATGTGACACCTACATGATCTTTTTAAAATGTAAAGGAAGGATTATCTCACATCAGTATAAGGACTTCAGAATGCTAACTGTATATGTAAATGGTTTAGGGGTGCTTTTAATAGCAAGAAATCATTCATCAGTACAACTCTAATTCTAAAGCAAAAATAGTGCAAGCCATCCAAAAAAATTACTGCAATTTATCAACACAGAAAATCCTCTGTGCTTCCTTGTTCATCACTCCAGAATTTGCATTTGTATTCTTCTCTTTCATTCAGGTTTTTATAGCTTTCTGACTGCCAGGGCCCCTAGTGACTAATCTTTTTTTTTAGTGCTTGGTATCAAGAAAATATTTTATGCTACCTGTCTCTAAATGGGTTGAATTACTCTACAGACATGTTTTTCTCCTTCTATTCACTATGGCAGGACCTTAAATGACTAGCTGAGTGAGATAAATCTCTAGTATCTTTGAGATAACTTTTCTGAAAAATACAGCTGAAATTGTTTATCAAGTTAAGAATTATTAGAGGTCCTTCTAACTGCATAATTCTAAGTTCTTTGGGAACACATTTAAAAATTCTTGAAAATACTATTTAAATTTCTAAATTTGTTGCCCAAAACAAAATTTACTCTATACTGTTGCCCCATTACAGAAATTGTATCATCTTGCTGAAAGAATCACTTTGAGATCTTTCCACGGAGCTTCATAGAATCACAAAATCATTTAGGCTGGAAACCACGGAGCTTCATGGAATCACAAAATCATTTAGGCTGGAAAAGATCTTTAAGACCATCAAATCCAACCATTAACCCAGCACTGGCATGTTCACCACTAAACCATGTCCCCAGGCCCCACATCTACATGTTTTTAAATACCTGCAGGAATAGTGACTCAACCACTTCCCTGGGCAGCCTGTTCCAACGCTTGACAAACCTTTCAGTGAAGAAATTTTTCCTACACAATGCACACAAGAAATATATTTTCACATAGGAATATATCCCTATTCATATGCAACTGCAACTCGAAAGCTGAATATCATAGTGTACTTTTGCTTTAACAGACATACACATAGTGTTTTATATACCCACTCTCAGCATTTTTACTTTGGGCAAATGTTTATTGATGGCTGGCTGAAAGCTCTTTGTTTTTCTACCCACTCACCACATCCGCTCTTTATTCTCATCTGTGAAGAGGCTAAATATTCCCCCGGAACAACTGAATATTCCCCTGAACAACTCTCAAAAACATAAAAAGGATTTTAACAAACCTATATGCTTAAAAGTAACAAAATTATCTGCATAATTTTTACCAATGTTTTCTGTCCTAAAATTATCTTTTAAAAGAAAAGCAGCTCTGCATTCTCCAAGAGTATCTGCAAATATACTATGACTTTTCTGATAGCTTCAGTAAAATAAACCAAAAATCAGTCTGCAAATATACAATGACTTTTCTGGTAGCTTCAGTAAAATAAACCAAAAATCAGCAAACCCCATCAAATACTTCTATTCTCTTCTGCCCTTTCCATCTCTCAAAAATCAAAATAAAGAAAATATGAAACATTTCACTAAATCCCTAAGCAGTTTTGTTTCCCCTTGGGCTAACAAACAGGAGAATGTATTAACTCTGAGCTGGAAGGATGAAAGAAGGATTTATAATTACAGAAGAAAAAGCCATGGCATGGCACATGGGCTTCACACTTGCCCAGGCTTCACTGAGTAAGCCTAAGACTCTTCAAGCTGTCTTCTAGACTCCTTCTGGCAGTATGAATCTTTCAGTTGTGCTGGCATTCTGTCCTTTATGGGAACAGTAATCAAACCTCTCAGAACCATAGCTCAGTGGTAAGGAGACAATGTGGTATTTAGTGGGGATTAGAAATGTACTGGATTGGTGCAGCCCAGCTGACAGTAAAGGAGATTATTTTACTGGTAATGTCTCCTGGAGTGCCTGGCAAGGTGTAATTGGATTGGTTAAGACAGTACTGGCAATTGGATGGCAATAAACACTTCTGATACTGTAAGCACTCATGCCAGTCAGTGCTTTGCAGGCTGACAGGAATAGCATTGTCTGAAGCAGACTCTACTGTAAATTTTCTACATCAATGTTCTGTCTTCAAGACTTTTCTTCAATCATAATCCCAGTTGTATTTTTGAACCTACTCAAGTGAAACAGGAAAGTGGGATGGGAAAGATTTTGATCTCTTTTTAATTGTCTGTTAAAACAAATACATCCTGCCTACCTAGAAAACACTGTGGCTTTTAGGACAACACTAAAACTGGCAAAAATGTTTACTGTCTGAAAGCCACGGATCAGATCAGAAACAGCAGTTAATTATTCACACCCTGCTTACTACAGATAATCATTCCCACTAATGGTGCATGCAGCCTTCTCTAGGCTCAGTAAACTCCCATTAATCTTTAGAATCTGAAGCACAAAAAGAGTCACATGGTAACACTTCTGTGAGCATAAGCAACAGGAATAAAAATCATAAGAGCCCTACTTCATAATGTTTATTATCCCTGCTTATGTTACAAGGCATTAGCTCATATTTATCTGCCTCCCCTGTTTCTAAAAGTGAGTAAGAAGCAGAAAAGGTGTCAAAGATTTCAGCAGATGACAGATTAAGAAAAAAGCAGTTTTGAATCTACAATGATTTTCATTTAATTTACTACTTTAGAAGACAAAATGGCCAAAATATTTGCTGGTTTTTTCCTTGCTGTTTTCTCCTCAAGATTGCATAAAAAAATGTTTTAAGCTTTGTTGAAATACAGGACATGAAGCATGAGTGTATTAAGAAATAAAATTTAAAAAATGAAAGATACTGCTTGCAATGAAACAAAAATTTACTGTAAAATGAGGAATTTCCTGTGACTAGATTACGCAAAATGTTACTGCAACTATTCATCTATCCTATCACAGTTGATACAAAACTGGGAGTACTGACTGATACAACAAAGGATTGTGTTGCTGTTCAGAGGGGCCTCAATAGGCTGCCTGGGCTGCGTGAGGAAGAATGATGCCAGCAGGTCGAGGGAGGTAATCCATCCCTTCTCCTTAGCACTGGTGAGAGATACCTGAAGTGCTGGGTCCAGTTCCGGACTCCTCAGTACAAGAAAGATTACAGACTTCCTGGAGCAACTCCAGCATGGGGCTCTGAAGATGATCAAGCGACTGGAACATCTGACAGATGAGGAGTGATTGAGAGAGCTGCAACTGTTCTGCCTAGGTAAGAGAAGGCCTGGGGTCCTTATCCATGTGTATCCATGTGATGGAAAGGAATGAAGAAGTGGGAGCCAGGTGCTTCTCCTTGCTACCCAGTGACAGGACAAGAGGCAGTGGGCACAAACTGAAACACCTGAAATTCCATTTGGTCAAAACTAAGGGCATTTGTTACTGTGAGAGTGGTCAAACACTAAATATATCATGATTTCTGGGTCAAGGTTTAATGTTTTCCCATGATTTTGTGATCAAGGTTTAATGTTTTCCCATTTATTCATAGAACAAGTACAGCTACTCCATCCCATATGCCTTACTGCAGAGTCAATCATAAAATCTTCACTTGGTTAAATATTTCAGTACAAGATTCTTCCCAACATTCAGGTCTTATGTACCTCCTACTTAATGATTTTGCTCTATACTTTATAAATTTATAAGCAACTGCATATTAAAACAACAAAAACATTCAGCAAAAAAACAGCAGGACTTTTTGGTTTCTTGACCAGGCTGCTGCTATCTTTTGTCATGAAAAACCAAAGACTACACAAGGTTTTCAATTACACTGTTTTGTTGTTAAACCAACTAAATGTCACAGTACTCACCACAGGCATTTGATCAAAGGTGCGAATAATGGACAGTTTATCTACAAATAAGCAGAAAATATGACCCGGTGATATAATTTCAACATGTAATCACTAATTCTATTGAAAAAGTTCTGAATATCCATTTCTACCTGCTGGATTTCCACGAAAAAGCTCCACCTTGTCTTGAAGAATGTTAATTTGCCTTTCCAGCTGTTTGTTCAGTTCTACTTGGGTCTCATATCTGGTTTTCCATTCATTACCTTAAAAACAAATACAGAGCTATTATATTTCCCAGATTATTTCATGCAATTTCAAGTAAATGCATTTTTAAAACTGGTTCTTTTAACTAACTGGAGACTAAGAAAGTCTCCAGCTAGTAATCCTCATAATGAGGATCTTTGCATACAAATGAGCTTGAAAATATAAATCAAGGGAAATTTTCACTGGGCTTATCATGGCCAGCATATTAACCACTCTATGAATTCATGTTATTCATAGTTTCATTAATAATTAATCAAGAAAAAGCTAACATGGCTGCATATAGCATTCCTTAATTTCACATTTGAAACACTACAGCTATAATAATCATATCTGAAAAGGGAAAATTTTAATTTCTAAATAAAAATTTGAATCTCTGTAGTGTCTTCCCAAATGAATTAATTCGCTGTTTCCTAATCAATTAGAAAGACTCTGTTGTAATTGACTTACCATCTTCTTCAACACTGTTAAGTCTTTTTTCCAGTTCCATTACAGTGTTTCTCAGTTCAGATATTGAGACTTCAAGCATCTGCCTGTGGCATTTAAAGAAGTAAATAAATTGGCTATTGTCTTAGTTCTACTATTAAAACTAGAAAAAATAGAATATATTTTCAGATATAGCATCAATTGGTCATTTCCATATAATTACATTATCTTGCCCATTTTAAAATGAATTTCTTCTCTGTGGATACTACAGTGGCTTAAAAACAATAGAAGCATTTCTACTTTGTGAATATAATTACTTCCATACAAATACAAGATCGATATTTCCTAAAATTTAAAGATTTTTAGGAGATCAGAATTAAACAAATGTAGAGAAGACACTAGTCTTAATTTTAAATCTAAATGAAGATGCCCAATGAAGATGTTTTTTGAAACAAGAATATGCCTGAGATGTGCTCTTTGAAATTATGAATGAATTCTTCATTCAGTTGGTGACACTTCTTTTTCATAGCTTGAAACAGCAGATTTCAACTGCAAGCTGCAGAAGCAAACCAACTGATCTTAGGAAACTGGAGAGGTATGCTTGGAATAAGGAGGGATGAAGAACTGAACTAGCAAAGAAATCTAAATAAGATTAATTTAAGGTAATTCAAGCAAGTTTTGAGTTAAAGAAATACACTGGAAAACAGCAAGACAGTGTGCTGGTTGGGGCTGGAGTGGAGTCAGTTTTCTTCACACTGGCCGGTATGGGGCTGTGTTTTGCATTTGTGCTGAACACAGGCTTGACAATACAGAGGTATTTTGCTATTGCTGAGCAGAGCTTACACAGAGCCATGGCATTTTCTGCTTTCCGTACTGCCACACTGGTGAGGAGACTAGGGGTGCATGGGAAGTTGGGAGGAGACACAGTTGGGAAAGGTGACCAAAACTGACCAAAGGGATATTCCATACCATATGACATCATGCTCACTATATAAAGTGGAAGGAAGAAGGAGGAAGGGAAGACATTTGGAGTGACGGCGTTTGCCTTCCCAAGGCGACGTTACACGATGGACCCTGCACTCCTGGAGATGGCTGAACACCTCCTGCCCATGGGAAGCAGTCAATTCCTTGTTTAGCTTTCTTTTGTATGTGCAGCTTTTGCTTTCCCTATTAAACTGTCTTTACCTCAACCCATGAGTTTTCTAGCTTTTACTCTTCCAATTCTCTCCCTGATCCCACTGGTGGGGAGTGAGCTAGTGGCTGTGTGGGGCTTGGTTTCCGGCTAGGGTTAAACCGTGAGAGTCAGAGGTCTTAAATGCCAAGAGAGAGCTGAGTATTCCCAGCTCCATTGCTCTTTTTGCCCCTATCAATTAGATTAGGGGTGGGCATTAAATTAAGAGGGGGTACATAGCCAAAGAAATCATAACAGTACTGGTAACTTGCTGGGGACAAAAAGAATGTGGTGAAAACCCAGGAAAAGATAGCCTTGAAACATGAGTCAAAAAGCTTAGATGCAGGAAAACCAAAGGAAATCTGATTGCTGCTGCCTGTTTGCTCCCACTCCAAATAAAAGAGGCAGATGGCTAGGAAGAAGAAAACCAAAATCTTACTACATTGCTGCTATCATTCCAACACAAATAGATAAGGTTTCTGCAAAGCAGATTTCTATCAACCTCTCAGAGCTTGGAAAAGAGGAAATTATGATGACAGTAAGTGCTAAAATGGGATTTTCGGAAGGAAATAACACTGAAAATTAGAAACAGTCAAAGCTGTAACCAGAGCTGAGTTGTATCTAAATGAAATTGTTTTCCTTTTCATAGAAATCTTAACTAAGTGCTTAGATGGATGCAGGATAACACAGGAAGAGTGAGTTCTTCAAATCCAATGTTTTCAGCTTTTAATTTCTGTTACCATTCCAAGACTATATACAATATTTCTTACATTAGATTTTATTGCTCTTTCCGCACCATTAGCAAAACTGCAAGCCAAATTCCAATTGTATTTTGTCCTGATGAATATGTGTACAGAGATAATAAATTGTCAGGTGTCAGACTGTAATTGCCAGACTGACAGAAAGTCTTATTTCCATTTGGCAATGGAAACCAGTTTTTTTTTAAAAATCTAATTATTATTAAACATTTAATACTCCAATAGCACCCAGAATGCAGCCAGGGTGGAATCTCCCTATTTTTGTCAGCATATATGCAGAAATTACAATCCCTGCCCTGACAGAGAAAGGATGTAAAAATTTATCACTTTGACCAACTCAGTAAATATTTTGGCTTTTTAATATATTGGAGCATTTTGCATTTCTGATGTTATTTCTAATTATGATAGAAAGTGATGGTCATGCCATATATCTGTAAGTGTGAATTTAATGTAGTTGTGGATGCATAGCTGCCTGCCCAGAGAGTTGGTCTGCAGTTAGAGGGAGTGTGCTGTGATTTCACCTGCAGCCTCACGTGTTAAACATAATTAGACATATTCCAGGCCTATAAATCTTTTCCATGTCAATGGAAAATTTATAATCATCACAGAAGAAAGCCCATAAATCCTGGAATCTCACATTTAAGTCATCACGGGAACTTAACTACATCCTTGCATACAAAGCGTAACAAGTAAGCTCTTGTGAAGAAAAGGAGAAAAAAGAGCAGTTAAGAAGGCTCTGATTGACATGACAAAAGAAAAAAAATTGCTAAGTTTCTTTTTAAGGCAGTGTACAGGTGTTATTTTACTTGACAGTGACAGCCACTTAGGATGAAAGCCACTTTCTTGCACGTTTTGCTATCCAGATCTGGATATCTGATAGATGTATCAGGCAAAAGGCTGCCTGAAGTGATTTTCTATAGTGGAGAGAGAAACTAGTGAAACATTACAGGAGAAGCTCAAGGGCAAGTCATCAGTTCCAGGGCATCAGCTCTATAAGATAGCAGACCTTTACTGAGTACTGTAGAAGACAAAATACATAAATGCTTTCTGACTCTATGAACAAAGCATGAAACAATACTGCAAATTGCAGAGGCACCACAGGGAAGAGCATATACAGTATTGAAAGCTAGAGACTTCTGACACTCACAGTCAGCAACGTGTTGGGAAAATGCTGCAGTTTTTCTTGCCAGGAAAGCCACAGAAGCTGAAATCTCACAAGCTGAATTAACACATAATTCCATCAATATTAGTAAGTACCTGACATGCATAAATACACGTCTATAAGACATCTTTGTCTATTAAGAACACTGAAGTATTATATGCCTTCTCTCTCAGAAACATTTGCCATGATATTTCTCAATCAAAACCTGTATTGAATCTCAAGTACAACAATTCAGATTTAAGCTGACTTACATTAAAGTCAGAAAATACTTCGAAAGATTTCACATTACTACATCCACAATCATTAAGAATCAGTAGGTACTTTAGGGACAGAACCCTTATGGACATGGATGATTCATTTTACTCTGTGAAGTAAAATTCTCTTCTTCCTGATTGTTAAATGAAAGTGGTAGGTGGGCTGTTAGCAAACTGCCTAAATGGCACAATAATCAAACAAGCCAGTAAAAAAATGACAAGGGTGAGATGGCTGTGTAGGAACACAGGCATCTATCTATCTACAAGCCACCCATCCTCAGCTTGCTTTATACCCAAGGGAGAGAAACTGGCACCTCCTAGGGTGTGAGTCATCTCATGCTTGAACAGCCAGGCAAAGTAGGTCAGATGAATCACACCTTCAAAAGCCTTTCTGTATTCATTGCTATACATGCCACTGGTTTCGATGGAGATGTCTAACAAGCTTGGTCAATGACAATTAGGTTGTGTAACTACCTTCTGTGAAATGGGCAATAGTGGCATTGTCTATTTGTTCACACGAGAAATACACAGGAAGCAGCTGTAGAATCTACCAGGAGCAGCAAGTCTTTTACTGTCATGCCATCACAATAAAGGTTTTTATTAAATATATATTTTGCTTTCATTCGCAAAAAAAAGTCACCACAACTTGTTCTCAACTTTGGGCCCAGTCTTGCAGATGATCCTCAGGGATATTAGAGAGAACTTAGGGCACATAAACAATTCAGGTGAAACAAAGCCAGTATCATTCTACTTTTTACCTGAACACCTATAATGTCAGGATTGTGCGTCAGATAAAAGAACTGGTCTGTGCAAGGATAGCTGATATATTACACTGACACACTACTGTTCAGGAGAACAGCAGCAAACAAAAGAATATTTGCTTACACATTGGTGCAATTATGTCCAAGCTCCTTTCAGTGCCATTTTGAATGCAGGAAGTGCCTTTAACCATTTTGACTCTGTTACTATTGCCTTCCCCCTTTCCATTAGTGGATAAACATTTTATAAAATCTACAATTGCAGGACTAGATTGAAGAGGTCTGCACCTCAGACATTGAAAAAAACCCCACTGTTCAGAAGAAAAATAAGTATGAAGAGAATGCTTGAAAATGGTATGGAAATGTTAATATCAAGGGTCTGAATTATGGAGCACAGGAACTTCTGACATTTCCTAAGTTTTAATTTATTAACATTCAAAAGGCAATCATGTTGTTCAACACAGGGTAAAATGTTTAACTTCCAAAACAAACCAGGAAAAAAAACCAACCTAGAATCCCACCAGGGCATGAGCATCAATAATCACCACAGCACTGAAGCATCTGCTACTTAAGCAGGGGGACTAACTGCCCAGAGCAACAAGTCCTCATCCCTGCAAACTGCACTAGAGAGATGCTGTACAGTCCCTGTAGGTTCCAGAGATATTTACTGATAGTAGAGAACAAAAATGGTTTTACTCAACACTGTGGAAAGAAGTGTGTATAAAAGGACCTCATTGTTTTATTCTTCTTCCCCCAGCAAGGCATACACCCAGGTAAGGTGTTTCCTGTTCTCCCCCCAGCACAGCTTCCAATCCCAGTGTACTGGTTTTGCCTTGGTTACAGTTAATTTTCTCCATAGTCACTCGTATGGGACTGTGTTTTGGGTTAGCGCTGAAAACAGTGTTGATAACACAGGGATGCTTTTGTTGTTGCTGAGCAGCACTTACAGAGAGCCAAGGCCTTTTCTGCTTCTCCTCCCACCAGCGGGTGGGCTGGGGGTGCACGAGGGGCTGGGAGAGGACACAGCTGACCCTAAGCGACCCAAGGGATATCCCACACGATGTAATGTCATCTTCAGAAATAAAAACTGGGGCGGTGGTGCTTGCTGGGGCTGCTTTTTGTCAGGGAAGCCATTGGTCCACCGATGGTGGAGTTTTACATCGTTTGGTTTTCTTGGGTTTGTTTCTGTATCCTTTTATTTTTTACATTATTAAACGGTCTTTCTCTCAACCTACAAATTTTCTCACTTTCACCCGTCGGATCTCTCCCGCACCGCAG